TTATTTATTAATGAAAAATAAATTTTTTTATTTCTCAGATATAATTTTAAAAAAAAAAATATTTCTTAAAGGAATTAATTAGAAATGTGTTTGATATAAATGTACAGGGATTCTTTTTTTTTTATTATTATTATAAATTCATTCACCCTTCAACTTTAATACTTTTGCTGATTTTTAATTTAGTAGAAGAAAAGAAAATATCGATTTTTGAACGCATAAATTCTCTCCTTTCTCATCCCCTATACTTTCATTATTACCAATTTGCAAAATCGATTTAGTTGTTTGACCTAATGCTTTGCTTCTAATAGATTTGCTTCTAACCTCAACTTGATGGAAATCATCTTTAATGATCTTGTTAACATTGCCATGTTTTTCTTTTATAAATGACTCTTTTATTTTATTATTATTATTATATTATTATTTTCTTCCTTCTTATAAAAATTGTGTGTATTTTTTAAAACTATTTTCTTAATTATTTATTATTAAATTTGAAATTTATATTAGAGATGAAAGGTTTATATGATGAAAGTTATTAGTTAAGGTGGAATTATTTATATTTTTGAAAGTAATATTATTAGGAATAATTAAGAATCTATATATTAATATTGATACATGCGAGCTTGCTAGATCAGTTTATGAATGAACTGAATTTGTAGTACTTTTATGTTAGTTTGTGAATGCAGTTAACGAGTGAAAGTGTCTATTCGTACTGAAACAGTTATTAAACAGCACCCATTCATTCATATAGAAAGCATTTATGAATGAAATGATACTATTTACTCAGGAATGAGTAGCGTTATGAATGAAGAAAATAGGAGCAACGTATATTTACAAACTTAAAATTTATGAACGAGAGAAGTTCGTTTGTATACAATAACAGTTTACAAACGAAAAAAAATGATACTGATAATGGATATATCTGGATATTTTATGAATGAAAGTACTCGTAAAACTGTTGCAGAGTAAAATTATTGTGTATCTTAAGCAAAAAGTTTTTTTTTTACAAGAAAGTAAATTATTAATTTAATTTCTTTCAAAAGAATATTTCAGTGTACAAAATCGTATAACGTTAAACAAAAACTGTACAGAATAATGTATGATAAATATATTTTGAGTTGGAACCAGTCGATCGATTTTGGCATCAGTTGAAATTGAATTGATGAAAATGCCGTTTACTCTCTTTGGCCTCTTTAATATTTCAAACACGTGATGAAAACGCGTTTATTTATAAATAAATTTTAAAATTTTAAAGCTGAAACAGTGAAGAATTTAATATTGAAAAATGTAAGATGCTATATATATATATTTCATAAAGATAATTTCCGAAGTGTCTGCTGTCACAGTTTATATCCGGAAAACTGTTCATTGCAGAGAAATCTGATGTTGACATTTTGTTTCTAATTACAAACGGCTATAGAAAGAGGGGAAATGATCCGGTCAAAAAAAAAAAAAAAACAGAGAGCGGTTATCACGTTAAGGGGGAAAACAATCCCCTTTCACTTTCCTTTTACTCCTTCCCCCTACGGAAAAACCTATTGGTTTGGTCTGATATTGTTACACGCTAGCGGATGATTTGAAATTAGAATTGCATTCGTAACGTTGGCAGCAAAAAGTGGTCTGGCCAAGGTTTATTATAAGTGTATTTTAGGAAAACTGCTTTTGTTTTCCTTCTTCATTCTGAAACCAAATGATGAGAAAACCAATCTTAAATGGATGAGCTAAGTGACGTGACGACACTTTACACATCAATTAGTTTTATTAGATTTTCGAGATAATCAAACAATTCGAATAACTTTGAAACGAAACAACAGAGAAATTTAAAAAAATCAACTGTATTTATAATTAATGTATAGGTATTTAGGAATTATGAAACTCTTGCAGCATCTCATTCATCACTGTATTCGTGTCAATGCGAAAAGTTTAAGCCTATTGTAAGCGTTGTGTTTCTCAGAATATTCTTATGTATCGATTTTAATAATTTTATGTTAATTAGTTTATTTTTTGCACCATTTCTAAGGAAAGTTATTGCAACTTTAAATGGCACTTCATAACGCAAAGTTACGCTACATTGCTCAACGTTGCGTCATTCTTACAGAACTTTGTGTATGCTCTAAACATACACAAACAAGAGTCGAAGATACTGGGGGTGTGTGAGGGGGCATCAAAGATAATTTTTTTTCGGAATTAAGAGAAATGCAGAGGTATAAAAAAAAGAACATGAGGGATGGGGAGATTACAGAGGACAGCTTTCTTGACTGGTACTTTGTATGAATTATCGGTATCAGTCGACAAAAATCAGCCTCCACGTCTCCTACTCCCCTCACTGATAAATGTCTAAACACGGAAGTTAAGTAAACAACAGATAATTTATACATATTTACAGAACTGCAAATTTATAGGGAGTTTTTGACATGTTTTTTATGTCTTCAAATCGCATGACGGAACAGTAGCAAAGAAACCACACTAAAAGTTGACACGTATAAATACGTTTTTAACGAGGCGAGATGACATTTTCTAACGGTATCGAATTGACATTTCCTAAAAGGAAGACGTATACTCGAAGCAAAATTTCAAGTAATTAAAGTCATCGTTGTTCGATAATAGATGGAATCAATCTTCAACCATGCGTAACTCAGTTTGTGGAAGAGATGCAGGCGTCCAAGTGTGTGCTGACGAGTTAGAGTTTGTAATCGTGTAATCAGTAGGGTGTAACTACCGTTAACCCCCTTTAGTTAAATACAGAGTGGGTTTTACCAGCTGGTATATTGTGTGCATGCCATTACTGTGTAACCATGTGTGACTAATGTATCTATACACTAGAAAGGCTTCAGAACGTTGCAATCCTTTCGTGCTGGCAGCAATTAGTTGCGAAATACCAACCATACCATACAACACTGATGTTGATAGAGATATAGATACGCACCCACAACACTTCTCCCATTAGCATAATGAGTTGATAAATTTAAACACCGAGTGCTTTGGATTAATATGTCCTACCTCCCAATTTATTAAAAGTCAAATCCCTGGAAGGTAAACTTAGTCTGCTAACCCCCTTTTTACATACACAAATTTCATTATTAACCGTTAAAATGAGAATTAGAGGGATGTAGAGTGTACTATCAACTATTAGTATGAGTTTACATGTTTAATAATTCATGCAAGATGTGATTTATTGAAGGGAGGGAAGGTATATAAGTTAATTAAAGTCTTAAATCATATTTTAATATTTTTTTACATGTATTTAGGCTCTGCATGATGCTCAAAAACGCTTGAGAAAGGTCATACCCGGTTTCCGCTTCAATTTGGGATTCTCAGGGAAATTTTATCACAAAGGAACGTCGGAAGAAAATCGAGGAGACGACCTTCTCATAGGTAAAATATAATCAATTATTATACCAAAATTAATTTTTCTGATGCATGATTATAATGTGTGTTTTTTGATGATAGCTCTTGCACAGGATTTTTGGTGGTTTGGTCATATGTGGAGTCATAGTCAACCTCATCTTTTCGATAACCTAACAGCCTTGGAGATAGAAATGAGATTAAATCGTGAGTTTGCTAAGGTGAGAATAGAAAATAGGAGAATAAAAAAGAGGGAAAAAAAAGAAAAAAACTAACCTGGTTGTTCAACCACACCCTACACTCATTTCCTGGGATATTTTCTGGTGATTTCATAATGATAAGTTAAGGCAAAAGCCACGAAAGTAAATGTATTATGTATGCACTATGAATATCGTAACAATTATGAAAACTTAACTCTAATTTTCATGCAGAATAAAAGTTATTTTCACTATCTTCAATCTTCCTAGCAAACACATTCTTCCCTTCTTTCGTTTATTTATCCCATTTAAAATTTTGAAATCTTATATGCACAGACATTATTTTTGAATTAATTAATTCACCTTTAATTATTGTTGACATTTTAATATGCAATACTGGTAATGATGTGCTGAATTAATTTGAATTTCATTAATTTTAATCTACGAGAAAACTTATTAATTGTACCTTTTTACATTAAAGTTTAATTAAAATATTAATTTGAAATGTATTATTAAATGCACAATTTCCTCCTTTTTCTCTGAATAAACTAATTATTAATTGTGTACTTTTAATATAAGTTTATGAAGATTATTCTTAAATTTACCTAATTTTTTATTTTAGTGAAGTATTTAAATGCATAAATAAAATTAAATTTATTTAATGGAAACATTTTTATGCTAAAAACTAAAAAAAAAAAACTATTTCCAGCTTTTTGCATTGTATATGTCTGAGAAATGCTGATGCAGCAAGATGCAGAATATTTTTCTAGTAGATATGACACTTTAAATTTATTCATAAAGTAGAAAAATTCAGTGAATAGATAAAATTTGTGGGGAAAAAAAAATTAGCAAAATATCTTCATTTAATTGCCACATTTCATTATCTCAGCTATTAGTTGAAGTATTTTAATCTTTTAAGCTAGTTGAAATCTTGTCCTTTGTAATTAACCTTCAATTCTATTATAAAGTAATTATATTTTTTAATTTTAGCTGTTAAATATATAGAAGACACTTCAAAATCAATATGTCAAATTACTTACTGCATCGTGTATTTTCAATTTTATAATAATTTTCTGTAAAGATTTTCAAATCTTTACAGAAAATTATTATAAAACTTGAAAAATTGATATTTTCCTCTTGAATTTTAAGAGGAAAATATATATATAGATCCTTACATCAGTGTATTATGTTTCAGATATCTGGAGCAAGCTAATATTATGTAACCTCCATAATAATGATAAAAACACTATTTATTTCTTAACATATTTATTGAAATGTTACTTTATTTATAAGAATATTTTCTGTGATTAAATGCCATGAAATTTATAGAATATGAAGGCCATTTTGTGTCCTCAGAAATTTTCCATTTTATATCTTTAACATTGCTGCACCTGCCTCAATCCTTATCAGGAAGTTGATGTAGAATCATTTGAGCAATGCTTAAAATTTTATTTTCATTCATTTATTATTCAAATTTAAATACAACAATCAATAGAAAGCCTGTTGATTAAGTTAATTTTTTCTATAAGCAACAACAGATAAATAGCTTCCTATCTATCATCTTTTATTCAAATTTTTAATTTCAAAACTTATAAAAATATCTAATGATATAAAAAGCTTAGGAATAGTTTAATAATAATGAATACCAATTTTATTATAAATTTTTAATAATTTTATGAAAAATTGAACTAAATAATTCCTTTCGAATAAATGAAAGATGTACTTAAATTTAGCACCAGTAATTGTAAATAAAGTAATGAATAAAGTGTTGAAGAACATTGATCATTTTTTAAATATGAAGTTAATGTAAGAATTCTGATATAGTTAAGTGATTGTCGAAGGGTGGCAGAGTGGAATATTGATGGAATGTCACCAAAAGTGCATAAGTTTGATTCACATATGGAACTGGCTCCACCCTTTTTCATGAGATTACAGAACTTGAAAGAGCAGAAAGAATATGAGACAAAAAAAAACGAAAAAAGTGTCACAGTAGAGAATTTATCATGTCTTTATAATTGTATTTCTGAGATCATTGCAGTCTGACAACAGTTTACTAAAGATAACATCATTGTTTAACATACTAGACATATTGTATATCGGCAATTTAATCTTATATTTTCCTCTAATTTCAACACATGTGAAAGAACTGTATTAATAAAACCTTATTATTATACTCAAACTAATTTAAATTTTTTTAGTTTTATAAACACATTTTGGATAAAGTTTGTCTCTCTATAATTCCCTATTTTCTAACTATAAATATAAATATACTTATTTTAATTTTAAAATCTACTAGAAAAATGATCAATTTAGTAGAAATTACATGAATTATAGTGATTATAATAATTAAATTTTGTACATGATTCATTAGGGATTTAATAATTGTTTACTTGAAACATGTGGTAGAAGTTATCTGTTTTATCATCAGTACTTATTTTCTTAATTAGAAAAGGTCAACAACGATGATGAATTTTTTCCTTTTTTTTATCTCAAACAAATTAGGACTTAAAATTAAATCAGTTATTATAAATTTTATATTAATGTTATTCACAAATATAAAATAAATATCATAGTTATATTTCTGTTATCTAGCTAATAATACAAAATGATGGAAAAATATGTAAATTTTAGAAAAAACTTATTTTAAATTTGATTAGTAATTAAAACACTATTTCTTATTTTAAATTAAGAATTTTTGGAATTTTAATGATGATTTTTACAGCATTATTTCTTAACCAATAGCTTATAAATTTCATAGAATTGCAAATTACATTCTAGGAAATGTCATGATCTTTTAGAATATTAAAATGAGATTGCAGACTAAAAAGGTTATGAAATAATGATTCAGAATAATAATATTTTGCTAATTTTTATCTAGAGTAGCTCATATCCTATTCATAAGTAATAGTTCACTGCATTAAAACAATTAATATTGCAGCATTAAAAGAATAAAATTGAAGCATTAAGAAATGAAAATTATAAAATTATAACAATAAAAATTAAAAAGCTACAATTTTTTGCAATAAATTTCAGTGTTTAAGCAATAAAATTTGTAGTTTCAAAGTAATAAAATCAGTGGTATTAGAACAATAAAAATAATATAAATTACAGCATTAAAGTAATGAAAATCACAGCAGAAAAAATAAAAATTGTAGCATCAAAACAATTAAAATTATGCCAATAAGAATATAAGTAGCATGAATGTAAATTCATATTATAGAATAAAAAAAATTACCATTGCAATTATCACTGGACAAAGTTTATATCTACAATTTCATAAAAGTATGAAGTTTCTGTTATAATTATTAACTTAACAAAGCAAACAATAACATAATAAATTTAACTATGATATTAGTGTAAATAATTAACATAAAACATAGAATATATTTTAAAATTTAAGTCATAACATTTCATTAAATTCTTTCAAAAATGAGAAGTTTGCATGATTGAAGTCATTTATATACTAAATGGAACAAATGTTCACTTTAAGTGGGAACTATTAGTCATTAATCAGTCTTGTTGGTATCATTTCCTTCAGATTGAATAATAAATCATCATGTATAAACCAATCTTTGGGTTCTATAATAATAGAGTCAAGATTTTAAGATGATAAAGAGGTCATTTACATCCAGTAATATTAAATTATGAATGTTTAATTATATGAGTTTATTATGTGAAAGATTTCAATATAAAAATTTTTATAACTATACTTATGTTAAAAGTTTTTAGATTCGTATATAATTTTTGTTTTAAATGATTACAGAAACACAACATACCCATAGATTCTGGTTACTCTATAGCTCCTCATCATTCTGGTGTTTATCCAGTTCATGAATATCTTTATGATGCTTGGAAAAGAATTTGGAACATTCGGGTAACAAGCACAGAAGAGTATCCTCATCTCCGACCAGCTAGACTTCGTCGTGGATTCATTCATAGAAACATAATGGTAAGTTTCAGTTTCTAAAAACATTTATAAATTACTTATTTAACACTAAAAAAGTTTTAAAATTCTTTACTCAATCCTCAGTTTTTTCCATTTCATAAAGCTTGGATCTAAACTACAGAAAACTGATTTTTTTAAACAGGTTTTGCCTAGACAGACTTGTGGATTATATACTCACACGATATTTCTAGACAAATATCCAGGAGGTCCACAAAAACTGGAGAACAGCATTCATGGAGGAGAGTTGTTTTTGTTGTTTGTTTATAACCCAGTAAGTAGTTTTATTTTTTATTTTTTTGACATTGATGAGCAATTTGTAAAAATTACAGATTTATAATGTGTAACGGAATTTTGTTTAAAATAAAATGTGTTGTCCTAGTATATGTCATCAAGAGATATGAGTAATGTAATTGCTGTTCATGTGTAACATAAATTACATTGCTGGAAACATTAAATGGATATTTTATAGAGGTATCCTTATCTTTTCATTAATCTTTCATGAAGTAATGTAATTGATTTTTCTTTACTTACTATCCGAAACAAATTATCTTACAGTTTATCATCTGATGCCAAGCTTTAAGTGCATGTCAACGTTTGTTTTATCAAAGAAAAAAAAACCTGTATTAAATTAATAATTACTATAATTTCCAATTACGATGATAATTAAGAATTTCTTATTTATTAATTTTGTTTTAATTCTATTAAGACAAAATTAATAAATTCTTGTTTTAATTCTATTTTTATTACTTCAAAAGAAAAGTAAACAAAGTTGTGTTCAAGTTTTTGATAGCTTTATTTTAATTTATTGCAGTTTTATGTTGATAAATTGTTAATAAACTTTTTTATATGAAAATATAAAATTATTTAAAAATTAATTAATGAAAATGAAACTTTTTTTAATTTCAAAAATGTTACAGAATTTAATAACATTTTTATTATACTTTAGATTGGAATAAGTGAAATATATGTCAAAATATCCGAAGAGTTTAAAATATTTTATTTATTTGAGTTAAAATAGAAAACAATATGCTATAAACAATGACAAAAATCATATACATTTATCAAAATACAGTGGGTGATCAGTTAACGAACAGATAGGTTAATGAACAAATCGGATAATGAACACTTTTGCGAAAGATTTTTATGATCAGACAACGAACACATGTTCGGATAACAAACACTTCACTGAACAAACACAAGAAGAAGCGACGTAAAATAACGAATACCAATTGGTCTTGGTCTTCCTTTGTCTTCAGGCAACAATTCGAAACTTTTCAGTGCGCAGGAGACGTTGACATTGACATTCAACCCAGTATATACTGATTAGATAGTATTCCCCCAAACTTTGAAACTCTCCCATGTAATTTTATATTTCTGATAGAAACAATTCTTTTATGTTTTCTTCTGAAAAAAACGGATTTATGCCAATATCTGCTATTAAAGATCTTTTTAAGAAGTGGGAGGATGTCAGAACTCATGATTGGCATGGGGAAAAAATATTAGTGCCCACCATAGAAAGAGTTAAAATTCAAAATATACCATATAAAATTTCTTATTTTATTAAAATGATATTATACAATTATTAATATTTGGGGCTGATGACAATGGCCAAAATACTGACAATGATATGTTTGGATATCATTATTAAGAGGAGCATCGGACATAGATTTGTGCATATTTTTTTTTTGTAGATAGATCTAAAAAGAAGTATACATAAACTTTTGATTAATGGAGGCATAAAGATTCTTCCTGAAAAATGATATAGAAAAATATAAATATATTAATATATTATATAAAATCAAAATGCTATACATATTTTTGTAAATTAAAATATATTTTTTTCATTTTATAAAACTTTCAGTGATTTACTATATATACTCTATACATTATTGCTTTCACTTTCAAAGTATAGAACTTTTTTAAATGTTTCTGTTTTTTGTTCATAATTTTATATAAAAAAAGAAAAATATCTTGAAATTTATTTATATTCCACTATGTTGTTTATCTGTGACAAATATGTGATAATAAGTTTGAAAAATATATATAATTTTTATATTACAGTCTATTACTTAAGTAAAATTACAGAAGTTTGACTTTTAATTGTTTTGATTTTCTAAGTTTATTTTGGGATTTATTGAAATTTAATCATTAAATTTTATGTGAATGAATCACACTGTTCACTACAAAATTATGAAACAGAATAGTTAATTTTGAGTGAATTTTCTAATCTCTTGAAGTTAATGATTTAGTTTTTAGCAAAGAGATGTTCATCCTTTCTTTTGGCACTGTCCATTAATTACTTGTACAGTTTAAAGTAAATGCTTGAAAAAAGTATATCATTGTACTCAATGACGAAAAATGATGACAAGACTTTTTAATGGTATTAGTGATATAAGAATTTGTTCTTATAAGACTGCATATCACATGATTACTATGTCAGTCAGAAAATATTTGTAGAACTTTTTAAAGTCATTACTTCAATGTAAGGTCATGTCTATGAACTATAAGTATTATGTACAAAATTAAAGGGAGATGGGGTTTGCCAAAAGTACATCATTGTAAACAACAGGGAGGGAAAGTGGTTTGGAAACTGTATACATAATTAATGGATGGCCCTTTTATGACAATTGAGATCTATTGTTTCAGAAGCATGTTAAAATTTTGTATGCAAAGATTCAGTAAGATACAAATTACTTGTAGAACTTAACAGAAACTTACATATAAATGAATTTTATATTTTCAGTATAAAATTTATTTATTTTATTTAAGCACATTATCACAAATTATGCTTTCTGAACAACAGTTATCTCATTTAAAACTGCAAATTCACTAATATCTTAGCTTAAAACAGGATGATCCATGATCTAATCAGCATAAAACAACTTGTTAAGCATAAAAATTAGATTATGGGAAAGATATTAATTTAATTAATTTTTACTTATTTATTTTCAGATTAATGTTTTCATGACCCATTTATCTAATTATGGAAATGACCGCTTAGCATTATATACATTCGAATCAGTAATAAAGTTTGTACAATGTTGGACAAACTTACAACTTTCTACAATCCCTCCTCTTCAATTAGCAGAAAAATATTTCCAAATGTATCCAGAAGAATCTGATCCAATTTGGATGGTAAATTGACCCCTTTTAATTAATTTTTCAGGTCAATTAAAATATAATTTTTCTTTGTTTCACTACTTTATAGAATCCCTGTAATGACAAACGTCACTTGGCTATTTGGTCGACTACCAAATGTTGTGAGCAACTACCTAAATTCCTTGTGATCGGTCCACAGAAAACGGGTAAGAATTCTCCATTCTTTTGCCAAAATTTAAGCTAATAAGGCATTTATATTGGATTAAGATAATCTGCACTTCAGTTGGTTTAACTGAGATACTAAGTGGCTATTAGAATTTGGCCATGTTACTAAGTGAATTATCTTTCTCCATAATATTAGTATGATCATAAATGAATTTTTCATCAAGATGAATCAATGTATTTCATCAAGATGAACCAAATTACAATGTATGCTGCTTTATAGATGAAACAGTAAATGGATTTGCTAATAAAATTAATTAATACATCGAGAAATCCACTAGAGAATGAATAAATCCTATTATAGACTGCATCTATCAAGTGAATTATTTCACTAAAACCAATTTTCTTGTTACAGACAATATTTAGAAAACTATATATCTTCAGAAATTATAATTTCTTGAATTTACTTAAATTTTTACATGCATTTAGTTTTATTAATGAAAAATTAGTTTTATTGATCTCTCCATTAGTGTTAAAATATTTACAATTTTGAGATTAAATGTTATCTTTATTTTTTTTTACAGGTACAACTGCACTCTATACTTTCTTATCCATGCATCCTGCTATTGTTAGCAATTATCCAAGTCCAGAAACATTTGAAGAGGTTCAGTTTTTTAATGGGAAAAACTATTATAAAGGACTTGACTGGTATTGTGATCTGTTTCTAATAATAATTAATATTAATTTTTAGAAAAATTATCAAAAAAGAATAGGAACTAGTAATGAATGAATTGATATTTAATCTTTTTGTTACAATCATCATTGTGAACAGTTACTGCTATCATTGCTAAACAAACTGGTTTCTATCAAATTATCAAACTTGGCTGCCACAGAATCACTGACTGAAATGCTCTCTGATTCTCAGTTAGGCACATTATTATATGTAATACACAATTTATAACAATCTCTAAACTTGTAACAAATCTTATTTTGGCAAAAATACCTTCATGAGTGTTATGTTATGAGTTCTTCAGTCTAACTATAACAATCAACACAGATAAAACAAAATATAGAGATTGTAATTAACCTAAAAGACACCTTAATCCAGTAACAAAAAACAAATTTAATAATTGAACTAACATTTTTGATCTTATTTAAAGATCATCATCAGGTTCTTATGATAGAACAGAAAACAACTGCCATCAAGAGCTTGTATGGGGGTTTCAGGTAGAGCTTCTAGTTCTTAAGTAGGACTCCTTTTGCCATGTCTTTTTTGAACAAACAACATATGTAAAATGCTTATTTATTAATATATAAATTATCTTTATATTCACCTGGGAAAATAAAGATAATTTGTTTTGACTTTTGACTAAGATCTCCTCTCTTTGCTAATGAGAAACTATACCAGTATAATAAGTTCTATTAATAAACAAAGTCCAAGTAGATAATATAGACAGAAAAACATAAAACAGTAAGGACATAGTGGTAAAAAGAATTAATAACATAGATACAATCAAAGAGTATATACCATTTCCTTGAGCTTTTCATTCAGTATCTGCATATGTTCATTTTACTATGTCACAATTAGAAACAGAAACCACATATTATCTCATACAGCAAAGTTAACTCAAACCATTATTTTAAATATTTTATGGTGGGAAATATGGAATTTATATTCTCACAGAAATTCCACATGTTTTTCAGTTTTAACAGGCCGTATCATTTGCAACAGACTTGTTGCCCATGACTGTTGTATAATATTGTGATCAATGCTGGCTCCAGCCTTCCTCATGAAAGAATTTTCAGTGCATAGCTTAAACTTTCTAACTTGAAAGTTTAAGGGATGCATTGCAAGTACTGGTAACCCTTGTTTAATGCAGTACTTATCCATTACAATTTTCACATAAGAGTTCATATGAAATCATTTGTTTATCTTATTCAAAGACCAATGGAAATTTCTTAGCACCTATAATAAACTTAAAAAACAATTGTAACAAAGGACTCAACAGACTCTTGTAACTGACTTTTTCAAAACTAAACCAGCAAAAGAATCCAAAGTTGAAAGTTGTAGCAATGTCCAAAAGATTTCAAGAAGCCATTGGGAAATAAAGAATATTGGCAAAATGTTTTGGAAGATAGTAGTAAAGAGAAGTAAAATTTATTTTTTGTGTGAAATGAGATTGTTATGTACAATTCTTTATTTTACAAATTTTAATAACTTCAATTTTATTTAGTAATTCATGTTTTGGTAAATGAAGCTTTCTGAATTGAGTAAAACTTTTTTCTTACATGCTGGATAAAATTTATATTTACAAAAATTGTTTTGGAATATAAACCTATTTTTTATATGTAATGTGAGCCTCGCATAATATGATTTTTATAATATGGCACTTTTGTGGAACCTAACTACTGCATTATACAAGGGTTACCTGTATATATACAATTTTTAATATATAAAATTATATGTATACAGTAATACCCCGACTTACACGAACCTGGAATTACGCGATTTTCAAATCTCGTCGATTTGTCTTTTGTTTGAGCGCCACACAACCCTTGATTACTCACTCCCCCTACACTATTGTTCAGCTTACATGTTCGGACATGTTGAGTGGAATCGACACATAGCTACTGTAAAGTACTATATTATTTTTCCGACTTTTCCAACGATTATCGACACTACTGCGTGCCGGAAATAGCCGTTCCCTAACGGGTACTTTACGCGGATTTGCGTTAGTGTGCCAGGCCTGGACTTTAAGCGTGCACCGAATTAAATAATGACAAAGTTTGTCAATAACAAAATCAAATATTTAATTAAACTTCTA